GTGCAGCAGTGCTGTGTGCATGTTCACTGTCGCTGTCATTCCGGCTGAAGCCATTACTCAGCTCTGAGTGTCTTCCCCTTTTACTGGAGGTTCCAAGATGGGCCAGACTAGGAGTCAGGGTCAGTCTGGGCTCCCACCACAGCTCTCTGTGTGACCCTGGTCCAATCTCTGGCCTTGGCCTCAGTCTCCCCATCTGTGAAAAAAGCTGGGCCAAGCGGTCACTGACTGGCCATGGCCATATCTGCTCCAGCCTTCCTCCCACCTCATTTCCTCCTTCCTTCTCCATTTCCAGCTCCTGTCCTATTGCACACCCCCCCCCCACCCCCCGCCGCCACTGCAACAGAAACCTTGGAAGCCTAAAGCAGGTTAAAAGGCACAGCTGGTAGGCAAGGGGTACCAGACCTCAAGCAGCCCAGGGCCCATCCCAGGCCTCCAAGGGTTAAGATCCAGAGTGAAGGGGGGTGGGGGGAGGAAGAGGCAGGGTCAGGGCTAGAGCCCAGGGCCTGCCTCCCCTCCCCCTACCTTGGGAACAGAAGCTACTTGTTTTGGGCATCAGCCCGCTGGCTTTGAGCTTGGCCAAAGGGAGAAGGGGATGGAGAGGGGAGAGCCCCTTGCCCCTCCCCCCAACCCCAGGAAGAGTAGAGGGGACTCCCTTCTTCCAGCTGATGCCCTAGTACTGGGCTAGTCCATCACCAGACCCTAGGACTCTCCGAGGCCCCTTACCCCTCTGAGCTGACCCCTTCCCCCAAGTTCTGCCTTTTCTTCATTCAAATACTCACTGCTGGGGGCAGGATTAGACTCAGGCCCAGCTCCAGCCCAGACCAGGCTCTTTTCGGAGCATGGGCTTACCAGCCCATCCTGCAGATGGGGAAATGGAGGCTCTGAGGAACTGAGATGTCCAAGGGTGTGCAATCACATGGGGCATGGTAGCAGCACAGACACTGCCCCAGGTCCCAGACATTCCCTTAGCGCTGCAGGCCCCTTCCCCGCAGGGCTCCAAGGAGGCCCTTGCTAAGCTGAGCCATTACACAGCACTGAAAAGCTAGGCAGCAATAGGGCAGCCCACTTCTGAAGCCCCAAAGGATCTGGGACATTTGGAGGAGAGAAAACTTTGGGGGTGGGGGAAGACAAGCAACCTGCACAAAGGGCTGAGGCTTGATGTACAGACAAGCATGACTGGACCCTGACAGGTGACCGGGGTGAGGCTGGGACCAAGAAGGTAATGCCCCAGTGAAGCCTGGGTACAATCTGAGCCCCTGGTGGCCTCTGCCAACTTTCACCTCCCCAGTTGTCAGGACTCTGCCTGGGACAGGCCCCTCTTGCCCTACTCCAGTAAGCAAGTGGCAAATGGGGAGGCAGAGTCCCCAGGCCAAGGTCTGGCCAATCCCAAACCTGCCATGGGACAGGGGGTCAATTCTCTCTACACCTGGCCCCTGACACCCTTTCACACCATACCCATTTCCGTGCCATTCCTCAAATATTCCGTGCAAGTTCCTGCCCTTGCACAAGCTATGTCCTCCTCGGGAGGGTCCTTATCCTTGTGAATTGCCACGTAACTGCTGAGGACCATTCCAGTCATCTCCTTCCTGGACCTCCAAGAGCTCCAGTCCCTGATCCTCAGTGCCTACCTGCATCTGTCTTTGTGACTCTGCCAGTATCCTTCTAACCTGTAATGAGCTTACTGGGAGGTCTCCCCTAGCCTGGGCACTATCTGCTGTCTGAGGACAGGCATCCTGGGTGCCTCTGTCTGGACCTCAGTGCTCACGCAGTAACCCGAGTACCTCTACATATCTGCCTGACCCCGCAGCCCTCCCTGTCCCCAAGCCTGAGGATGAGGGAAGGCTCCCAGGGCAGGAGCTTTGGGGGATGGTGTGCATACGCCAGAAGCCATACGGTGATGGCTTTTAACCCAAGTTCCCCCAAGCACCAAAAAAACCTCTGGCCATCTGGGACTAAACACCCACACCATGCCCTGCAGGCTGAACTCCAAGTCTGCTCTCTCCAGTCCCAAAAACCCACTGCTGCCTTGACCCCATTCAGTGTGAACACAAACCTCCTTTTTCCAGCAATTGGGCCAGGTAGGGGCTCTTGGGAGTCCAGGCCACCATTTACTGGTGGGGAATTGGGGCGCAGAGACCGGAAATAGTCTTCCCAAGGTCACTGCCCAGGTCCTGGGCACAGGGTCGTTGCCATGTGCAGAGCTGTAGGGGTCTCCGCTGTCGACGAGGTGGGAGCCTTCATTTCACAAATATGAAAAGCAAGGCGTCCAGGGAAGAGCTGGCTCCGGATCCCGAGAGCCTTCATGCCATAGGGCTGAGGGCTGGAAGCTCCCGGTCCCGCCGGTTCGCCCTCTTGCCTACAGTCTGACCGGACAGCGCACCTTGAGGAGGCGATCCCTATCCCCACCACTGAATAGCAGAACTGAAAACACAACCCGAAACATCCGCGGAAGTAGGTGCCGGCACAGAATTGTCGCGGGGCCTCAGCGTTCCCTTCTGCGGAATGGGAAACTCCGGGCCACACTTGGGGAAGGAGCGCAACGGGGAGGTCCCGGCAACCACACTGACCTGTTCTGAGCGAAGACTCTACACGGGGACCCGGCGTTCCGGAGCAGCCACAGACTCATCCGCACCAGCTAACTCGCGGCCTCAGGCCGGGCGCGCCCACCCCCCCGGGTGCTTCCGTCCGCCCCACGTGACGCCCTAGGGAGGGGAGGGCGGGGCAGGGGCATGGACACGCCCCCTCTCTGACCCGGCTCTGTAGAGTCCCGGCTCGCCCAGCACTAGAAGGGTGTGTGTGTCTCGCTGGTTCCTCTTGCTGCTACTCGGAGGTCCGTTTCTGTATCCTGAGGCTCAGGTTCTATCCCCATCCCCACCACCCGCTGAGACTCCATCACTTCCAGAGTCTCCCGGCCTCTTGCTACTACTCTTCTGATGACTGTGCCCCAGCGGAATGAGCCACACCCCCCTCCCAGGAGCCCCCACCCCCAGGGTGTGAAAGACAGTAGGACCTAGGTCTCTGACCTTTTCTAGGAAGTCCTTCCCCACCGCTTTCTCTGAGGCTGCCTCACTTCTCTCCCTGGGCCACGCCCCCAGAGGCGGGGTGGTGGGGAACAGGCCCGCCCAGAGTGCCTAAAGATCCTATGGCTGAAGGCTGAGGCCTAAGGCCCTGGCACACAGGCACCTTCGCTGGCCTAAAGAACGGGATATTCTCTACCACTCTGCAAGCACACACACAGATGACGGTCCTGGGCAGGCATTCCTGGTTCCTGTGTCCGGGGCACTTTTGGGGCCACCCAAGCCAGAGATCTTACTCTACCTCTCCAAATGCCCTGTGGACACATTTGGAAGAACAGCCCTCACTGGAGTGGGACATGAAGGTTTACTCATTGAGATTGGGAGTCATTAATTTGAGTGCCTACACCTACTGCACGCCAGGCCCAGTGCTGAACAATTCACTCCTTTTATCTCAATCCTCCTCTGCTTGAAGGCAAAAATCATCACTGCAGGTTATGGATTAGAAAATGAGGCTCCAAAAATTTCCCCAACTTACCCCAAATTACAAAGCCAGTATTGGGCAAACCTGGGATTGGAACCCAAGTCTTGGTGAGTTATAGAATCTCCTGCCTCCCACTGGCCCTTTACTCTGCCCCTCCAGGAAAGTCCACTACTGCGTCTTCCTGACGAGGCTGAGGCAAGTCGCTTCCCAGAAGGGAAGACAGGGCCATACCTCGGAGAGAACTTTCTGGCCCCAAATTCATATCAGGTGCAAAAATTCTGGGGAGGGCAGAGCACAGGGCCCTTCTCCCAACCTGACAGCAGAGGTGTCCCTCAGGCAGCAGAGGGCACCTGGGGGCCACAGAGAACAGGGGAGACCCAGGCATCCTTCTAGACTTCAAAGCATCAAGGTAGAACACAGGAACAAGGGCCTGGCATTCGACCACTGGCAGGGGATTAGGGACCCCCATCCTTTTTGTTACCACAGGCTGGAGGTCTCTCTTTTTTTTTTAATTGATTTGAGGGAGACAGACAGACAGAGGGAGACAGAGGGCAAAATGCCCACCAATTTGTTTTTCCACTGATTTACGCATTCACTGGTTGATTTTTTTTTATGTGTCATAACCAAGGATTGAACCCAAAACCTTAGCATATCAGGATACTGCTCTAACCTAATGAGCTATGTGGCCAGCCCAGAGGTCTTCAAAATGACCTAAGGAGGGCTCAAATAACAGGGCCTGGTCCCTTCAATGCACTGGAGTCTGATGACTCTCACCTCAACTCCAACCTCCCTCCTCCAGAACACGTTGCCCCAACCTCAGCCCTGTGGTGTGAGACCCAGGGACCTCTCCACCTCCCTTCCCTGATGCCTGGAGAGTGTCAGGCCCCCAGCCCATACACTGAACCCTGGGAGGCTGAAGGTCACAAAGTAGAACGTCCCTCCCCATGGACCTGAAGGTCACATGGAAGAAGCCCACCCTCTGACCCCTGCTGCAGGGCCTCTAAGCCAGATCTGCTCCTTCTCTCAGAGCAGTGAAAGACAGTCAAATAGCCTGGAGAGAATGACAGAATGAACATGCAACCAGGACAAGTGGCTAGAAAGAGTGAAATAATGGCCCAGCCAGTGTGGCTCAATTGGTTAGAGCATTGTCCTGTGTACTGAAGGGCCTCGGGTTCCATTCCTGGTCAGGGCACATGTCTAGGTTGCAGTTCAGTACCTGGTTGGGGCACATGCAGGAGGCAACCCATAGATGTTTCTCCCCCTCTCTGGAATCAATAAATACATATTTTAAAAATTATAAAAACTGCAGTGAACTACTGAATAGACACAAAGGAAACAGAACAACCCAGCCCTCCACTTACACACGGGGAGATGAGGGGATGCCTAAAGGCGCAAAGGTCAGGGGATCAATGAAAGCATTAACAAAATGAGCCGTAGAACAAGGGGGCCAAGGGCAGCAGGCTGGCTGGGGCAGGTGGGGAGCAGGCACTGCGACGAGCCGGTTGAGGCTGTGGGATTGTTTATTAGGGCTGTGCCCAGCCAGGCCACAGCGCCAACCTAGGCCTGAGCCCAACGTCCTCAGGAGGCGCAGGGGATGTGGGAGGGGAGAAAGCGCTGGAAGAAGATCTGCCACCCCCGGGCTCTGCCCGTCTTGTCTCAGTCCCTGTTGTAGTTCGGGGCTCAGGTGAGCGAGGTGTCGTCGTCGCTGCCCTCTCCGCCAGCACCACCCATCCTCTCCTCCCGACTCTCAGCCACTGCACTCTCGTCGATGTTCTCCAGTGAGTCCGCATGCTGCACCGACAGCTCCGATAGCGCCAGGCTTGGCAACGGGCTTTGCTCCGGGTGCAGCCACGGCTTGAAGTGAGGCTGATGCTTCTGCTTCCACTCAGGGTACTTGACGCACGCCTTGTACATCTTCTTCATGGCCTGTGGACCCGCAGCACTGCTGAGTCAGGTGAAATAGCGCAGAACAAGGCACGCCCATATCCCCTCCTCTGCTGCCACTCAGCCCCAGCTCTGAGCATTCAGAGTTCTTGCTACAGTTTCATAACCCCGCCCCCAGCCCTAACCACACCCCCTGACTCCCAGTCTCCATCCCTGACTCTACCCTTGTGGCCCCAAACCCTCTCCACCAACCTCCATACCCCTCAAAGTCCCAAGGCCACTCACCTTGGGAGCCAAGAACTGAGAAGATTTATTTACCACCCACTTGGGTAAGGAGCCTATGAGAGCAGAACAGGGTAGTTAGAAGAGAGGGGAAGAAGCAGCCTCAGGGACCTAGCCCCTGCTTCCACTCTGGGGTTTCCAGGGAGGCCACCCTCTTCTCCATAGGGGTGGGGGGTGAGACAAGTCCTACAAGACTTCATCATCCTCACTCCCTCTTTCCACCTCGGACCTAGGCCCTCAGGCACAACTCTATGTCCTGCTCTCTTCTGCTGAGCCCCAGGGGGCTGCAGGGAAGAAAACCACAGGGTCCTAGATAAGCACAGGCTATGCACGGATGGGTTGAAATCCTGACCCATTGAGCTCCTGTCAGTTACCTCCACTCACACTAACATCCTTCTCATACCCAGCCCCTCTATGGTGAATGGTCCGGATGCTTAGCCCCTCCTTTGCCTGTCCTTCCACGTCCCCTGCCCCAAGAAGCCTACCTGCTACACAGGCCTCATGGCTCAGCACCCCAGCCTGGCCTGACTTGGAATCCACAGCCCAGCTCTCCACCTTGTCTCATTCCCAAGTGTCCGCTCTGCCTCTGACACCCAACACACTCACTCAATGAGATGCTGGGGAGCCCTGGGCCTGGGCACTTGGCCCTCAGTGGCGTTCAGAGCATACCCAGGCAAAGGTGCTCAGGGCCTACCCATCCTCCAGCCACTCATCCATTCACTCACTCCACGTTCACTCCATGATACCCACCCTGGACCAGCCCTGGGGACCCAGAGAGGAACAGACTATAGGGGAGGTCCAACCGTACACCAACTGCTCCGCTAGAGGGACACAGGCCAACAGAGCAGGGAGCCGTGACGCCTCTGGGTATCAGACAGAGGAGGAGACACCTGAAGTAGCCCTGAAGGGATGAGTAAGGGAGGACAGGTGTTTCTAGGCTGAGGGACAGGTCTGCCTAGACAGGGAGATGGAAATGTGTGCAAAGGTGTGAGGAGGACCCAGAAAACTGGGAGGGGGCTTAGCCTCTCCACTCTGAGGGCAATGGAAAGTCACAGGAGAAATTTAAGCAGAAGAGAATCATGAGGAAATAAGTATTTTTGGAAAAATGCCGCTGGTAGCTGTACGGACAGACAAGGTGGATGAGTATGGAGAGGAATGCCAGATTCAGGAGCTATTTAGGGGTAGAATCAATAAGAATCGGTGACTAGGTTTGGGAGCTGAGAAGAGGGAGCCTTGCATGACCCCAGATTGTTGGCATAGGTGACTGCAGGGGAGACTCAGGAGAAGGGGCAAGTCAGGAGGGGAGATGGTGAGTTCAGCATTGGATACAGGGAGTCTCAGGTCCTAGAAGACATCCTGAGGGGCGTGTCTCGGAGGTCAGCGGCCACACACATCTGAGCCATGTGCTCAGCAGGCCGCAGAGCCTTGGGAGTGGCAGAGCCTTCTCAAGGGGAAGAGACCTGAGGCTGGAAGATCCAGGCCTCTGGGAAGGGCAGAGGTTGGGAACCAGCAAGACAGTAGCCAGCGAGCAGGGAGCAGGTCAGAGTGCAGGAGTGTGGGTACCCAGGAAGACAGCTCTAAGCTTCATCATGGGGCAGTGGCCACCACCTTAGCCCTTGCTTCTCAAACCACTGTAAAGTCTCAAACCTTGGTTCAAATGGTGTTTTGGATGTATGCCCCAAAATACAAAACAGCTCCTAACAGAGGCCTTTCTAGATCCCAAGGAGATCAAGTCCCATGCCCTGCAGTATATGGGGAGGATCCCATGGTAGTCTGCCAGGGCCAAGCCCTCACCTTTGGGGTCCACCTGGGCCAGGTAGGTGATGACGCAGCTCTTGGGCCCCGTGCTCTGGATGAGGTAGCCCGTCTGGATGGACACAGCCCGGACCAAGTCTTTTCGAGGTGGGTATTTCTGGGGATGGAAGGCACAGGGAAGTAAGACTCAGGGCGGGGGCAAAGGAGGTGTCTTTGTGAGCACATACACACACACAGTTAGTTCACACCCCTGGCGTCCACTCCAGGCCTGGCCCATTGCTGGGGTGAGGAGAAAGGGAGGAGTCAGACTAGGTCATTCTTACCCTTCTTAAGCTTTCCCTGTTACCCTTTGGGAAGACCCCAGCCTGGAGTCAGGGTTTATGAGCACACAGACAAGCACACACACGCATGTGCACACACACACACACACTCTCTCTCATCCTTGCCCAGACTGGCTGTACCTGCCCGTCCTGCCTGTCATGGAGATCGAAGCAGCCCAGCCTCAAGGAAAGCCGGGGAGCCCTGCCCTCACCTCTTGCTCTCCACTTTCCCAGCCAGGCCAGGCCAGACTCCATCCAACAAAATCCAGCCCATCCCACCCACTCACCCACAGTGATGGCCCACACTGCCCTCTCCTCAGCTGCTTCAGAGCCCCAGCAGGGAGACAGGACCATTATTTTCACTATATCAGAAGGAAACAAGCCCTGGCTGTGTAGCTCAGTTGGTTGGAGCATTGTCCTGATACGCCAAGGCTGCCGGTTTGATTCCCAGGCAGGGCACATACTAGAATCAATGAATGAATGTATAAATAAGTGGAACAACAAATTGAGGTGTCTCTCTTTCTCTCTCCCTCCTTCTCTCTTTCTCTTTATCGCTCTCTAAAAATCAAATAAAATTTTTAAAAAAAAGAAGGAAACTGAGGGCCCGTGGGAAGTCACAGAGAAGCCATGGCAGCAACCGGGGTCCTCTCTGTGTGCGAGGCCTGCCGGGCCAGCCCTGCCTGGCACCTTCCCCTGCCCACCCAGCAGGGAAGGCACATCAACTCACTGGATGTTTGACTGAGTAGTTCATAATGATGTAATCAGTGCCCATGGGGAGCCAGGAGCGGAGGGTGATGACATCACGGTTCTTCAGGGGCTTTGGACACCTCCCTGTGGAAGGCAAGGGACAATTCAGCCAGACCACTGGCCTGCCTGCCTGCAAGGGAGGGCACGGCAGATGCTAGAGCCACAGGGATGCCTAGTTAACTGCCATCTCCCCTGGACCAAACAGGTACCCCCCACACCAGACCACAGTCCCAGACCTGGAACTAGGAAAGAGACAGAGCACAACCCTCTCCCCTCCTGTCTCCAGCCATCCCTGCTCCTCACAACCTCACACAGTCCTTACCTTGCTGGCCTGGCCTGCTCGTACGTGTGAGTGTATGAGACAACAGGACTACTGTGGTGTGTGTACATGAAAACGTATGGCTGCAAACATGTGGCAGATGGCTGTGGGTCGTATACATGTACACCAATGTATTTGTGTGGACTGTGGACACACGAACATGGGAGTGCACATGTGTTTGTAAGTGTGCGTGTGTGTGGTGTGTGTACCCAACTGTCTGGCAGTGGACAAAGATGTCGAGGAGGGCAGCCCTACATCTCAGCACTCATGTCCCTGGGCAGCCTGGCCCTGGGAGCCATCACCAGGAGGGAGACGGGAGGAGGCAGCTGGGCGGGAGGTGGGGGCAGCCTGCAGGAGGCGGGGCAGTGTGCGGGGGCCTGCTCACAAGAGTAATAGCCCACGTCGGCATTGACTGTCAGGCGAGCGATGTCGAAGGTCTCAATGACATTGCTGTCCCACTTCTTTCGGTATTCAATGTCGTGTAGGACATCATAGAGTGTCTCGGCTGGCACATCACGGCACTCCATCCGGCACTGCAAGATAGACACGTGGGTTGTCAGGATCACACAAGGCTCAAAGCCCTGGTGCCAGGGGACCAGAGAGCAGATGGGCAAAGCAGAGAGGAAAAGAGGAACTAGAAGCATCAGTGACCTCTGAAGCCAGCATGGGCTCACCACTTGCTGTGAGTCCTGTCCAACCCTCCCAGAAGCCACCTGTGCCAGGAGACAGCAGCCCCTGTTTCCAGAGACTATCTCCCCCATCCTAGCCCCCACCAAACCTCCCCATTTGTCTTAGTTTCCTCCTCCAGGGAGCCTTCCTGAATTACCCAGCCAGATTTTCTGGACTCCCATACACTGAGTCTCTGTATATCTGTGCCCTCTTGGACCCTTGACCTTCACGGTTGGAGGCTCACAGCTGATTCAGCACAGAGTCTGGTATGGACACATGTGACATGAAATGAAAGCATGAAGGAACAAACGAATGCCTAAATGGCTGATTTCCTTCCTCTATGGTTCTTATCACCAGGTCGTACTATTTGTCCTCCCTTTTTTAAAATCCAATAAACATTTTTTGTTTTTTTTTTAAATTATTTTACTGTTGTTCAAGTACAGTTGTCTGCATTTTTTTTAAATTATTTTGATTTCTTATTACTTACTAAGCCTGTCTTCAAAGAGCTTTCCATCTAGAGGAGAAAAGAGCCAAGGATACCTTTTTTAAAATTTAGCCCACATAACAACTCTGCCAGACAAGAAATCCAAGGAGGAAACTGAGGCTCAGAGAGTTTAAGTGAAGTAACCTGCCCAAGGTCTGCCGGCTGGTAAGCGGCAGAGATAAGGGATTTACTCCAGATCACGTGCCTGGAAAGCGGGTGAAAACAGAACCATCTCAGGGTTCTCCATCCGTCGCTGAGGACAGACACATGGACTGCCAGGGACACGCCGGGCTTGGAGTCCCGGTGCCAGGGGGCCAGATTTGGGCTCAGCAAGAGGAAACTCAGTCCACAGCCTTGTTCTGTAATTCCTTTACCCGAAAGCCCAACCCCCAGAATCAAGTTCCCCTCAGCAAGGGAACAAGTTTTCTGGCAGTTTAGAAAGGTCTCTGGGAACTGCATGTTCAGACGGCGCCAGGGGAAGCACACACACTGCTTTCTCCTAAAAGGGCCTACACACAACCCTACGAGGGAGGGTTGCACCGCCTTGCCCAGAATCTCAGGTTAGGCCTTGGCACTGCTAACCATGTGAGAGGCCACAGGAAGGACACATCACCACCTACTGGGGGTTCTCGGCACCCGTGAACTCATCAAGCCCTGGACAGACTTCACCTTACAGAAGACACAGAGGACAGAGGAACAAACTAAGTGTCACCATGAGAACAAAACCAGGTGGTGAGGCATTCCGCAGGATCACTGGTCCAGTCTTTTCTACAGATTGTCATAAGGAACTAGGCTAGACTAAGAGACTCAGAGGACACAACAACCAGACAGAAAGTGTGGTCCTGGTGTGCACGCTGGCTGGGGCCCAACAGCTGGAAAGGACAGATCTGGGACAACTGGAGAAATGTGAACATGACCCGAATATTATATGTGCCAAAAACTGCTGAATCAAAATGGTGGAGATTGCTGCCTGAAAAAAAATATGCAAATCACACACCGGAATGCATGGTGTGATCTCATTTGGGTGGAGGGTAATAGATGCACAGAAAAAGCTCAGGCATCACAATCGCTAACGTGTTAACAGCAGTGATCCCTAAATGATGAGAATATGGTATTTATTTTGTTGGGGGTTTTTCCTGTTTGTATTTCTAATTTTCTAAAATGTATAGCACTGCTTCTGGAATAAAGGAAAAAATTTAAATAAAAACGTCCCCCAGGGACTTCTCTCTGGAGCACACCCACATCCTTCTCTCTCTCAGGCTCGTAGCTTTACTTTTCTTCCCTAAACTCTGAGGGTCCCTATGAGACTTGCAAGGGAAGCAGCAGGCAGCAGCAGCTTGTCCTGGGCTCACTCCCTGACCCTATCTCCAAGGCCCCTTTTCTCTGACCTGTAGTGAGCTTACAGCAGCCCCACCTCGACTTCCTTCCTTCCTATTACGTTTCTTGGGATTCAAAGCACAGCCCCACTGCCCAGGCTCTTCTGTTGCTTCTTCTGCCCTAAGCCCTTCCTCTATTTCACTGCCCCAAGCTTTAATCAATGTACTCGCAAAAAAAAAAAAAGTTCCCTCAGAGATACTGAGAGGTGCATTCACCACCTGCCAGGTACCACCCTAATAGGTGCTTTATATATATTACGGCATTTTACTCTTACAGCAACACTCTAAGGTAATAGCCCCATTTTAGAATTAAGAAAACCAGAGTTCAAGGACAGACTTCAGCCTGCAAACACTCTCCCTCTCTGTTTGCTCTCCTGCTCCATGAGGGAGCATGACTAGATCCAATCATGTAACAGCCTGGTTCCCGCCCTGTGTGGACCGCAGAAGAGCCAGAGATGAAACTGGGGCCTGTCCTCAAAAGGCTGCCAGTGGAAAGAGAAGACCTACTTGAAAGTGAGGAGGTTCCCTAAACTGCCCAGTAGGGGCACAGAGGAGGTCAGCTCCGTGGGGTGAGTGAGGGGCCAGGCTTCATGCAGAAGCTTAGTCTGGACGGTAGGTATCTGCCAAGTGGCCCTGGCAGAGGGAGCAGCCAGGGAGCAGGCACAGAGGCAGATGAGAGGGGGCCTGCAGGGAGCCGGATGAGCTCCATTCGCTCCATTCGCTCCAGTCCCCATGGTGTGGTATATAGCCCAACAGTCAAAAGGCCCCAGTTCCAGGTCTCCTTGGGGGAAATACGTGATTCTGGGGCTGGGTCAGAGTAAGTATAAGATGAGCCTGGAACACCTTATGGTGCAAAAAAGGACCTACCCACAGAATGCCAGGGACCTCGCCCGGAGGACACGGAACCAGCACGACGAGTTCCCGTTGGTTTAGGTGGCCAGCTCATCAGTGCGTGCCTGGCGCTTTCCCAGTGTTCGCTTTAAAGTGCGCGTCCTGGGAAACCCCTCAGACCAGGGCAGACGAGGACAGCCGGCCGCCTCCCGTGGGCTAAAGACGGGGCATCCAGGTATTAAAATAGATAATAATGATCGTAACAAATTGTATTCCAGTTAATAAAATAGGGAACCAAAGTATATACAGGTGTGAATAAATAAATTGAATGCTTAATCAGGGTATTTACATAGTTTCAAGGTACCTTCTCATCAAACACTGATACAAAGGGAAAATAAGTAACTTCATGACAGAGAAGCCTGGCAGATCCCACCTTAATCAAGCGATCAAAGAGAACGTCATAGTAACGAGCATCACTACTAACGATCAGTAAGTGAGCATCATCAGTGCGACCGGGTGCTGCGGGACAGGACACAGCGAAAAGAATACAGGCACCACTGACGCGGCATTTCTGCCAAAGATGGATAACCTAAATCTAATCATGGGGCAAGTCAGACAAAGCCAAAATGAGGAACTTCCACAAAATAACTGGCCTTTAAGTCAGGGTCATAAAAGTCAAGGAAAGACTCAAGAGCTGTATCAGGCTGACTCATGAAACTAACGAGACTAATGAAACCTGAGTGCGTGAGTGCCTGAGTGCGTAAGTGCGTGAACAGCGCGATGGGAGGGGCACAAGGAGGGGAGGGGCGCGAGGGGGAGACGGGCGAGGGAGGAGCCCGCAGAGGCTGACCAGGCATCACTGGGATATTCCAGACAACCTTCTAGTCAGCAGCCATGTGGTGGTCTGGGTGCCGCACCAGACACCCAACACGCCCTCACCCTTCACATGTGCGAGCGGTGTCATGCTTGTGCTGCAAAATAAAACCACTGAGGTGCAGGAGAATGAGCAACCTGCCCACGTCCGGCAGCCAGAAAGCGGCCTAGCAGGGATTCAAGACAAAACCAGACCTTCCTGGACTCCTGACCATCAAGGAGCACTCAGGTGTGGCTCCTGAGGAAACCAGAACTGCTCTGAATTCAAGTGGGGAAGTTGATTTGGCTTTGCAAGTCCTCAGATGTGTTATGCTGGACGGCGCATGCGTGGAGGGGCCATGCAGCAGGATGATGCTCTGTGGGAATGCCTCTTCCCTGAGGCGGGCCCCAGGGCTCCGGGGCCCAGCTGCGGCCGCTGCTGAGTGCACACTGAGTAGGGGCCCTCACGGCCGGGATTTTGCCCATTCTCAGTTGGGCCTTCGGACCAGAATTGTGGCTTTGGGACCAAAGGCCTCCCTCTGGCACAGCAGGCCGTGGGCGGAGCACGCATAGCCCCAAGACAGACTGGGCACATGTCAAGAGTCAACTCTGCATAACATTTTATCTTCAAGATACAGATGGAAACTTCAAAGGTTTCCCAGCTGGTGGCAGACTCTCAGGGAGGACAGCCCTGTTGGGGCGGGGCGGGGGCACTGGGAAGGTAAGAGTCCTAGCCGTGGTGGCCCTCCAGGTGGGGACACTGAGGCCTGGGTTGCGGTCTACAGAGCAGAGAGTGTCCGTGGGCTCCCACAACCCATAGCGACTGGCCTGGCTCCTGACCCAGCTCTTTCCACAGCCCCAGGAGGCCAGTGCGGCTGCGCCGCCAAGACCGGTAAATTACATCTAGCATTGTTCTTGCCTGCAGGGCCAGCTGCCACATCAGCAAAGACAAGGTGTAATTCTAAGAGGCTTTGGGATGCATGCATGGGGGTAGGAGTGAGTTATTGGAGAGCACCTGGTGGATGGGGCCCATGCGTGGAAAGCACATCCATTGGGCCCTGGGCAAGTCAATCACTTCCAGTGAATACCTGGGAGCTCCCCCTGGAATCCAGAACTAAAGGGGAGGAGCCACACTGGGCTACAAAGCCCTTAAAGCCTGGTTACAGCAGGGAGACTGACAAGCAGCCATTTCACAGCTGAGAAAACTAAGGCCCAGGGTAAATAGAGACTGTGACCCCTGTACTCCATTCTCTCCAGACCTCACAGAGGGGAGAACTGTTACTGCCTTGAGCCCCTGGTCCCACCCCAGCCCCCAGCACCC